CTCTCTCTTCCTCCTGTGGAAAGCACAAGGAGCTGAAGCAGAGATGCTGAGTACTGGGAAGGACCCTACAGATGAGAGGCATCTCCTGAATGGCTGGCAGGTTAGTGCTCATGAGGGATCTATGTTGAACCTTCCTGTACCATCAGTTCCTCCTACATCTCCCCTTCTCTGGCCTGAGCCCACAAATAGGGATTCAATTAGTAGAGATAAATGATATGAAATTCTGTGTTTTTAAGTTAAAAATAGTCAAATGTTAGCAATTTCATATGTTCAAGTTATACACCTTGAGCATGAGTAGAGACAGAGAGTGAGGTTGCTTACATCCCATGGGGCTGAAAGTCAATAATCAAGTCAAGGGAACTCATTGGCCTCCTGGAGTCTTGGCCCCGATACCACAGTCCATTCATTGTGTCCTCTACTTCCCTTAATGAGCCGTGTTTGGTTGTCTCTACTTCCAGGTCCTTCCTATTCTTTCCCCAGCTATGGCATCACCACTCCTGAGATCCCAAAGTTCACACAGGCCCTCAGCCCTGGAACAGATGCACAGACAAGATAAAATGTAGTGATATTTTCCCTCTTTCTTTACCTGTGATGTTTCTTCCAACTAATAGGAGGGGAATGAGAATGAGTCTCTGAATTTCTCACAGAAAGCAGAGGGAACATAACGTGTCATCTGAATAAAAGTGTGTGGGAGCTTGAGCCCTTGCTGCTTTCTAAGGTCCCCACAATGATCAACTCCCATAGCCTGAGTTCATTCATTAGACCACAGGCATTTATCTGAGTGACTGTTACACACTAGGCTCTGTTCTAGACTCAGAGAAGTCTATCCTATATAATAAAGAGGTAATATGCAAATTAACCCTCAGAAGATGGCTGTTTATGACCAGGCCAGCAGCGGGGTTAGTGAGGGATGACCAAATGACTGAACAAGCAGGCTGTGTGGGGCAACCAGGCCAGCGGGGGAGCAGTGAGGGGTGTCCATGTCAGTGGGGGGTTGGGGGGGAGATAGTTGGGGGCAACCAGGCAGGCAGGAGGGGCAGTAAGAGGTGACCAGGCTGCCAAGGGGGGCAATTAGGGGCAACCAGGCCAGTTAGTGGCAATCAGGCCAGCATGCAGAGGCAGTGCGGGGCGATCAGGCCAGCAGGGGAGTCAGTTAGTGGAGACCACAAAGGCAGGCAGGTGAGTGATTAGGAGCCAGCAGTCCAGGATTGTGAGAGGGATGTCTGACTGCTAGTTTAGGCCAGATCCTCAATCAGGCCTAAACCAGCAGTCGGACATCACTCAAGGAGTCCCGGATTTTAGAAGGTGCCGGCTGGGCTGAGGGGACCCTCTCCACCCCATGCATGAATTTTGTGCACTGGGCCTCTGGTTTGAATATGATAGAAAGTCACCTTTTACCCTGGAACTTAGCTAACCCCAGGGGAGAAAGACAATAACCCAATAGTATTTTATGGGGACTCAGAAGGAATTAAAAGGGTCTCTTCTTGAGGATCCTGTGTTCTGTCCTCAGCAGAAACTATGATGTTGGTGCCTCTCCCTACTCTGTGAGATGTATTAAGGGGCCTCCCCCACCATCTCCTTTATTTCTCCCTGAACCCCTTAAAAAAGAAAAAGTTCAGAGCAATAATTGCTTTAAAAAAATACCCAATGGTTATAGACCATCGGTTCAAGTGGTTAGGGAGCTCTCCCTGAGAAAGTGACATTTGAGACCCGGATAATGAGAGAAGCCACCGTGACAAGATCTAGGGGACAAGTGTTCCACGGAGAGGAGGAGGGGGAGTCCAAAGTTTAGGGTCAACCAGGGCAGGGGGTGTATGTTTGTGAATGTATATGTATGTGTTTGTATATTTGTAGGTATATGGAAGTGGAGGATGTCACAGAGAGAGAGAGAGATTGTGTGTAGCAGAGAAGAAAATTAGAAGGGCTGAGCATAGAGGACCAAAGACCAATGAGAGCAGAGGAGACTGAGAAGGGGTGCAGTGTGTTGAGGAAAACTGAGAGAAGGTGATGCAGGGCGGTGAGGGGAAGTAGGTTTTTCCAAGAGGGAGTGGCCAGGTGTGGTGAGAACTGCTAGGAGGCAGGGAAGTGAGAACATGCAGAGCAGTGAGCACTGGGTTTGGTGGGTGTGAAGTTCACAGACAGTGGAGTGTATGAGATGGAACCTGATTGGACCTTTTGAAGGGATGACAGGAGCTGAAGTCTTGAGGGAAGATTACAGGTGCCTCTGAGCAGCGACCTCAGGGAGACTGTGCGCTGGGCTCAGGGAGTCAGCTGGACCTAAAGCATAAGAACAAAGGAGCCTGAAGGGAAGCTGGGGGACGCGAGAACCAGAGATGCTCAGTCATCAGCGAGGAGCCACTGGAGTGACCTTGAAGGCAGAGGTGACTGGTTATGAAAGCCACCAATTCCACAGCCACTGTTTATTAGTGACCAGAGCAGACAGTCACCACCTGGGGAGGAGGGTGGAGTCATGGACAAGACAAATCTGGTCCCTGCGGCATGGAGCAGCGTCACATGGGCAGTTACTGTGCACCAGGCCTGCATCTGAGTGTGTGACTCTCATAACCATCCTGTCTCACCTGCAGCAATTACAGGTGTAATCACCCATGGAATCTGATTCAGAGAGTTTAAGCAACTTACCCAGAGTCACACGGTTAGTTGTAGAGCCAGGTGACATAGTCTAGGTCTCAGTATCTAGAAAGTCCTCTCCTACATCAGCATTGTCCTTTCATAGTAGCTGCATGTATATGCCGTTATTATACAGACACCAATGTTTCTGTCCTTATGTTCAAAATGATATTTAGTGATAAAATTAATTAAAGACAATTGCCAAATGGTGATGGAGACATTATTTGCTCTAGTAAGTTAAGGAATAGAAAGATCTTGTGAGCATGCATTCCTAGGAGTTATAAGAATTAAAATAGAAGGGTACTTACTGAGTGCTTATATGATCAGCATCAGAAAGAATCACTGTTCAATCCCACACTTAACAATATTTGTGAGAACTACAGTATCAGTAAATCCATATCAGAGATAAAGAACAAGGCCCATGGGCGTGACAATCTGACCCAGTGGGAGCTCATGTTCTAATTTAGGTTCCTCATTCTAGAGCCTGGGCTCCCACCCCCACTGTGAGCAGGGGCTTGGCTGGGTCTGACTTGCTGCTGAGATTTCTGATGTTCCCATGGGCCAGCGTGTCTCAGGGTTGGGGGCAGCAGGTGCAAGGGCTGCCAGTTCCAATACACAGGAGGAATTTACATCCATTTTGCATTTCCAAATTGAAAAGTTCCATACGGGCTCACACTGAGTCCATACGGGCTCACACTGAGAACCACTAAGAAGTTTAAGTGCACGCCTCAGCCTCAGATCCCATCAGTGGGTGGGCTTGTGTTGCCAAAGGAAAGAGAGGATGCCTGATTTAAGCTGAATTTCAGAGAAACAACAATTATTTATCTGAAATTCAAATGTAATTGGGAATCATGGATATTTATTTGCTTTATCTGGCAGCCTTTCAGTTGGGCCCATTAGCATGGCCTGATACTGCTGAGCACACAGACTACAGTGAACAGCAACTCACACATGTTTATTTTCAGCTTCTCATGTGTCAGGAAGGTGCTGGAGAATTTGTGAAAAGTTACATAGACTGAGTCTGAGCAGAGTGCCCTCCCCTCTGCCATCACTTCTACGTGAAGGTCTCCACCTAAAGCTGGGACCTGCTCCTGTTTGTAATCTGTCTCTGTGAGGGGGTCATCTCAGCTGCTCCCCTTCTGAGGGACCTGTCTATAGAAATGAGAGTCCACATCTGGCCAAGGCTGGTACCCTGATGCCTCCTGGTATTACTGGGAGCAGGAGGGGGTTAGAAAGTGAGTTAGTTGGGACTCTGAATGGGAATCAAATGGCCGCGGCTGTAGCTGCTCCTGTAGACAAGCAGTGGGCCAGTGGCCGGGAGATTAAGAAAGAAGACGATGTGGAGGACAAATGACGATGTGGAGACAAGCAGTGGGCCAGTGGTTGGTTGCGAGGCAAAGAAACAGGTAGATCTTGGTCCTGAACAGATTTATTTTCCAGGAAAAATAGTCAGCACTGGGACCAGATTCCTAATGAATATAAATTCCATACAGACCAGGCCTTTCCACAGACACAATATTGGCTAAATTTTTATTGTCATTTCCAGCTGCTTCATAATCAAAAGTGGCTTTTGCCCCCAGATTTTTCAGAGGGTTCACCAGCCCTTCCCCCTCTTCTTACCCCTGGAATGACTGCAATGGGGGTTTCTGTGACAACTGGTGGGGATGCCGAGTGCAGCCGACTGTGTACAGAACACCCACCCCCACCTCACAGAATCATCTGGTCCAAACATCTACAGCGTTGAGGTTGAGAACACTGCTGGACACCGGCTGTTTTGAAAATTCTAGACTCACACTTTATACACATGCACCGTCCAATGCAGCTCTTTACGGTTTAGTTTAGCTCACTTCATTACCAAACAAAACAAATGGGCAAATACCAGATAGTCTACTCTTGATTTTCCAGGTGACTGAAGAGCTGGGCACCCTCCAACCCTCTAAACCAGGGGTCCTCCAACTACGGCCCCCAGGCCACATGCGGCCCGCAGAAAACATTTCTCCGGCCCGCCGGGTGTTTTTGCCGCCGCTGCCTGTCCTGCTTAGCAGCCGACTCGTCCCGGGCCCGCAGTGCGCATGTGTGGAATGTCTGAGGGACAGTGAACTGGCCCCCTATTTAAAAAGTTTGAGGACCTCTGCTCTCAACAAACGAACAAACAAACAAACACCAGACACTTGTACAATTTCACCACTTCCTTGTTGAATCCATTCAATTAATTGAATTTTAAAGCCTTCATTGTTATTATTTCCTTACTGTTTGTCAAAACGTCATGAGCTGTGGTCACTCATCTCTGCTGACCTTCCACGTCTCCCCTCCATGAGTCGTGCATCGTGGGGCGCCCCCTGTCCTCAGTCAGGCCTCCCATTCTGCAGGGACTCTCTCCACTCCAGCGATGGGGTCAGAGCTTCCATCCACCCCCTGCTTCAACCACAGGTGTGCTCTGGTTCTCTGCGCCTCCTGGGTTGGACATGCAGGAAAGAGAGGGCGCCCTATTGGGATTAGGGTGTAACCCCTGATCCTCCTCAGTGCTCTCCCTTACATGCAGCAGAAGCCCCCCTAACTCACCCCCAGGCTCTCAGCACCCGCCTCCTCCAGCCTCCTGTCCCCTCCCCCTCAGTGTCTGGGCTCAGTGCCTGTTCTCTGGGTTCCCAGGAAGCACATGGGTTCTCTCAGGCTTCACAGGTGGCATTGCCTTCACCTGAGATGTGTCCCCTCCCCACATACAGTGACCTTCCCCTACATCCTGTCACTCAGAGGCCCTGGCCCCGCCCCTGATGGGACTTGGGCCCTGTGGTCCCTGCTCCAGGTGCCCCTTTCCTGCCATCTCCCTCCTGTGTGGATGGCTGTGGTTGGGCTGTGATGGACACTTTGGTGAATTCTAAGCTGCAGAGCGGAGGGCGATGCCCAGTTTCCAGCCTGGGTCCCGGGCAGCTGGGGCCTGGCACGAGGTCCCCTTCCCAGGGGGTGACAGGAAGAGGCTGGTGTGGGGAAGGGAGAGGCTGGGGGGGAGGCAGAGGAGGGGCCCGGGCGCTGGCAGTGCGGGTGCTGGGGTGCCGGATCCTATGTCCCCACTGCCTGGCACCCTGCAGTAGTAGGCAGCGTAGCTGTCCTCTCACCAGCGTGACGGGTCCTTCCTGTCCCTGCAGCAAATTTCCTGGTGCAGCATAAGGGCGAGTGTCATTTCTCCAATGGGACCGAGCGGGTGCAGTACCTGGACAGATACTTCTACAATGGGGAGGAGTACGCGCGCTTCGACAGCGATGTGGGGGAGTTCCACGCGGTGACCGAGCTGGGACGGCCTGACAACGAGTACTGGAACAGCCAGGAGGACCTCCTGGAGGAGAAGCGGGCAGAGGTGGACAGATACTGCAGACACAACTACTGGTTGTGTGAGGGATCCCTGGTGCAGCGGCAAAGTGAGCGCGGGTGAGGTGGGGCTGGTGGCGTGGGGGAGGAGGGTGCGCACACAGGGCTGTGAGGAGACACCTGTGAAGGGCCTGAGGGAGGCTGTGGGGACCCTGAGGTCCTGTCCTGTGTAGGGCGTTTCTGGGGGTGCCCAGCCATGTCCAGTCGGGGGAGGGTTTGGGGAGCAGAAGGAAGGAGGGAGGAGGAGGTGTGAGGACCGAGGAGGGAGTCTGTCTGTCTTGGCCAACCCACCCCCCTAACCCTGAGCCCCTGGAATAGGGGTGCTGGGTGCACAAGCCTTTCCCTGGGCAGAGCATCAGGCTGGGTGTGAGGGGCAGGGCCTCCGAGGCACCTCTGGCCTCTCTGAGCTCCTTTCAGGTCTCAGTGTCTTGTTCCCCCCTCAGTGCCCTGTGTTTACAGAGGGGGTGATGGTGAGCCAGGGTCTAATTATACTTTTGTTACATAACAAACTGATGTCACATCTACACAGGCTGACAGCATTTAAGTAATTCCATGTTAACTGTTTAGAGTCCTGACAATTTGCCTTATATTCTATTTTGTTAAATCTTTTTACATTACCACCAAATCTCAGTTGAAATTTTGTTTTTTATTTTAGATTTATCCTTCTTTGATTTCTCAGGTTCTTGAACATTTCGATGTATGTACTGGCTAATGATTGTTCCTGAACTAAGAATGGCCTATTGCCCATCACCCCAGGGGTCCAGAACTTTAATGACTGATTTTCCAGATTCTCTAGGCAGCAAGATGGACACGTTACTAACATGGATTTAGCATTTTCTGCAGCTTCTGGCTTGTGTTTTCATTCTGTTTTATTACTTTCCACGTTAGGAATTTAAACATCTTTAACCTAATGAAATGTACTGCAAAGTTACTAGCAATGATTTACCATCAATCTTAAATCTACCCTTTTGGTCACCTTTCTCTTCCTCCTCCTCCTGCTCATCCTCCTTCTCTTCCTTCTCCTACTCCTCCTCCTATTCCTCCTTCTTCTCCTCCTTCTCCTCCTCTGCTTTTCCTTCTCCTCCTTCACCTGCTCCTCTCCCTCCTCCTCCTCTCCTTACTCTCCCTCCTCCTCCTCGTCCTCCTCCTCCTCCTCCTCCAATTCTGTATTTATTAAGCCTGGTCTCAGGCAGGAAGCACACATATTAATGAGTCCCAGACCCTGCCCTGAGCTCAAATGTCAGATTGAAAAGAGAGAAAATCCTCCTATCTAATAATAGACAAACATAGTAATTAACCGTACCTCCAACATGCTTCCCATTGGCTAATCAGGGTGATATGCAAATTAACTGCCAACCAAGATGGCGTCTGGCAGCCAGGCAGCTGAAGCGAACAGGAGGCATGCTTGCTCCAGTGATGGAGGAAGCCAAGGTTCCCCGCCTGCCACCGCCCAGCTCTGAGCTGCACTCTAAGAAACAATGTTGCAAATATAGAAGCTACACAAACCCCAGAAACCTGCTTTCAGCCAGCCAGTCCTCAGAGCTGGAGTTGAAACAGTGTTACAATTATAGAACCCAAACAAACCCAGATACCTGCTTTCAGCAGCCGAGGTCTCAGAGCTGGAGCCAAGCCTCAGAGCTAAAGCCGGCTCTCAGGTCCA